TTTAGCAATTCTGGTTTCTTGTTATTCCATAAGAAATTGAGAATTTTTCTTTCAAGGTCTGTAAAGAATTGTGTTGGTAATTTGATGGGAATTGCATTGAATCTGATTGCTTTTGGTAAGATGGCCATTTTTACTATGTTAATCCTGCCAAGCCATGAGGTTGGGATATCTTTCTAACTTCTGATATTTTTTTTCTATTTCTCTCTTCAGAGACTGGAAGCTTTTTTTCATACAAGTCTTTGACTTGCTTGGTTAGAGTTACACAAGGTACTTTATGTTCATTGTGGCTATTGTGAAGGGTGTTGTTACCCTAATTTCTTTCTCAGTCTATTTGTCTTTTATATACAGGAGGGCTACTGATTTTTTTTTTTGAGTTAATTTTGTATCTAGCAGGCTAGGGCCAGATGAAAACGGAAGAGGACCTCCCTTATCAGTAGACTGGGGAAGGGGCATGGGAGAAGAAGCAGGAAGGAGGGTGGGATGGGGGTGTTGGTGGTTCAGGGAGGGAGCTACAGCTGGGATACAAAGTGAATGAATTGTAATAAATCAAAAGAAAAAGAAACCTTCCCCTACCAGTGGACTTGGGTAGGAGCATATGTGGAGAAGGGGGAGGAAGGGAGGGTCTGGGAGGGAAGGAGGGAGGGAACTAGAGGGGAGATACAAAGTAAATAAAGTGTAATTAAAAATAAAATAAAATAAAAATTTTAAAAAAATTGAAAAAAAAAAAGATGTCTGTCCTATGGTGTGTTCAAGCTACCATCTCAGATACATAATAATCGTGACCAATTAAACCAAAGTAACTTTTGCAGTAACCAAAATAAAAGCTTAACATACCAAACATATGCTGTTTATGTGTGACTGGTATATTACCTTTTGTTTTACCTCTACATAGCAACTGATTGGTGGGTTATGTTTTCTTCAGTTGTAACATTTTATCTAATTCCTTACTATGAAACTTTCTATTACAATCTTGAAAGCATTACTAGATCTATCACATTCAAATCAGACCTTTGAAGAGAATTAGGTGTGGAACATTTTATGTATCAACTTAGTCCTGGGGTGATACAATATTTATTCCCTTGTAGTTTAATTAATTGTCTAAATTAAAAATCTAATTGCCCTTGGCCCTCTGTATCAAAGGAGTCTACATGCTTGAGCTCCCCCTTAAATCTAAAATATATTTAATTCTATCTGAACTGATAATACACATAGTTTCTTGTTATTTTATTCTAAACAATCTAGCATATTAACCTATAACATTTACTTTAACAATATTGTTAAATATTACTAAGATACAATTTAAAGTGCAGATGGACTGCATCTGGGTGCATAGAACTATTGCATCAATTTTTGAAACAACCTGTTTATCTGCAGGGTTTGACTTTGGTGTGGCCTGGGAACCAGACGTCCATGGATATCAAGGATTGACTGTGGGATGAAAAGAGCTGATTATCTGAAGGGCAAATCTTACATTGCACCTGCATTACTCTCAGAACTGGAAGAAATTTGTTTATCAAGTAGTGCAACAGTTGAAGAATAGTTGAAGTATTTTCCATTATTTTATTTATTCCTGTACATCACATGCAAGGCCTCAACACATGCTAGTTTATAATGATTCTTTTAGATAAAATTAAATGTTTTTAGTTAATAATGAAGAAAAATGTGAAAGTTATTTTTCTATTGTAAATACAAGGAATGAATTAAAGTAGCATTTTAAAATACACGTATGTATAGCACATAAAAATAAGTACTACGACTAAAAACAACATGGCATATAGAAAAATGTTCAAATTTTTAATTACATTTTTATTTTTTATATTAATTATAGTTTATTCATTTTGTATCCCAGCTGTAGCCCCCTCCCAATCTTACCCTCCCTCCTTCATCTCCTCCAATGCCCCTCTCCAAGTCTACGGATAAAGGAGGTCCTCTTCCCCTTCCATCTGACCCTAGCTTATCCAGTCTTATCTGTACTGGCTGCAATGTCCTCCTCTATGGCTTGGCAAGACTGCTCCCCTGTCCAGGGAAGGTGATCAAAGATCTAGCCACTGAGTTCATGTCAGAGACAGTCCTTGTTCCCCTTACTAGGATACCCATTTGGATAATGAGCTGCCATGTGCTATATCTGAGCAGGGATTCTAGGTTATATCCATGAATGGCACTTGGTTGGAGTATCAGTATCAGAAAAGTCACCTGGGCCCAGATATTTTGGTTCTGTTGCTCTCCTTGTGGACCTCCTGTCCCTTCCAGGTCTTTCTGTCTCCCCCTTCTTTCCTAAGATTCTCTGCATGCTGTCCAAAGTTTGGCTATGAGTCTCATTATCTCCTTTTAAACAATGCTGGGTAGAATCTTTTGGAGGTCCTCCGTGGTAGGCTCCTGTCCTGTTTCCTGTTTTCTTCTTCTTCCAATGTCTGTCCCATTTGCCTTTCTGAGTGAGAATTGATAATCTTACCCAGGGTCCTCCTCCCATCTCACCTTCTTTAGGGTTCAGATTTTTATAGGTTTATCCTATATTATATATCTAGTATTTACTTATAAGTGAGTATATACCATGTGTGTCTTACTGTTTCTGGGATACTTCACTCAGTCTGATCTTTTCTATTTCCAACCATTTGCCTAAAATTTCATAATTTTCTTGTTCTTAATTGCTGAGTAGTATTCCATTGTGTAAATGTACCACAATTTCTGTATCCATTCCTCCATTGAGGTTGTTGTTTCCAGATTCTGGCTATTACAAATATAGCTGTTGTTTTGATCAAGAATATTGTGCTAGAATTAAAGAGTGATTTCAACTAATGGTGGGACTATGACTGTGGCATCTGACCTTTCTTTGCTCAATTCCCTTCCTATATCAGTGGGCATAGTAACTTCTAAGTGAGAAAGTCCTTACATCCCCAGGGTCACCCTCAGGAGGGCACTAGAAGCATTGCTAATACTCAGAAAAGCTGAACAATCCTGACCTATTTTATGAGAGTAAAAGCACGAAGACTTGGATCTGTGGAAGGAAAAGGCTCATGAAGCTATTTAGGGAATGACTTTTAGGTATCTTTTTTCAATGGAGTCATATAGGCACATTCCCAGAGCTCTTAGCAGAAATATGCAACATGGATGAGTTATGGAAAACCTGGAGAACCCATTTGGACTCTGAGCTCCAGGGTCCTAGCTGAGGTTAATTACATGAGTCTATAGTATGGATGACTGATCTTAGCTGTCTAGACTTCAGTGTCCCTTTCCCTAAAACAACATCAGTCATGCTTTGTAATATATTTACATGACTACCTGGAATAACAAAGACTGAGGCTTCAGGAATACCAAAACACCCCTTTAAAAATTTAATTAAAACTATCTCCTATTCATGTCTATTGAAATTTCATCAGCCCCCATCTCCAATTTTTATGCAATGTCCCAACTCCCTCTCAAATTCATTTTCTTTTTCATCTCTGGGGAAAACTGATACTTCCCCTGCCAGCAACCCTTAGTTTCCCGCTGTTCCCCCTTATCCACATTGGTAGATCACTGCTGTTGTCATTGTTCGGGTCTTATGCACACAAGCAAGCTGCTGAGTTGCCACACATGCACTCTCCTGTCCTATAGAAGAGATTATCCCACAACAGATTTCCTGAGCTTTGGCCCTTATAATGTCTCTGGCCCCTCTTTCCCTATTCTCTGCTTTAGGTGTAGGTTGCATATGTATCACTTGGCCTGGGGACCCCACCATCAGTCTCTGAATTTTGACGAGCTTTGGCTTCTGTAATGTTTTCCATCTGCTGTAAACAGAATCTCCTTTACTGAGGGAGGAGAGCTACATTTACCTGTGGTTCTAAGGACAAGCATTTAGAATAGAGTTAGAACTGGTAGCGATTAAAGAAATGGTAGTAGTATGTTCTCCTGTAGTCCCCACAGCCTCACAGTCATGACTAGTTGGATAGGTTTACAGTACAAAGTCCCTCCTACTGAGCGCACTTAACATTCAATTATACGGCTGCTGGTTTCTCCCAAGACACGCATGCCAGTGTTGTGCTTGTGTACACCGATATGCTGGTTGTTGTGGGTTTTGGTGTCACAGCTGAGTAGGTTACTGATTTTTTTTCCCTTGACATCTTGCATAGGACCTTCTGGGACTGTGAGAGCTGGTCATTAGGGGAAAATATTGGGTTGGATCCAGCTGAATTATTTAAGTCATGTGTTCAAAGTGTACAGTGTCTTCAGAAATAGAGATTCTCTTTCAAGTACTGGGAACCCACCAAGTGCAACAGTAATTCCTTTATACACGTACACAAACATATGCATATATATTATGTAATTTATGTAAAATAAAAGAATACTATTTCCTATGACTTTTGTGTGCATATAACTTGGAATAACTACAGAAATAAGAAAAATAAGAGGCGCAAGGGAGAAGCTCTGGAGACATGAACAAAGATACAGATGCTATGATTAGGAGAAGGGAAAATGGGGACAAGGACTTAAAGGTGAAGAAGGAAACACTATGAGGAGTAGAGATGAGGGATAAATGACATTAAGATCTAAAAAGTTCAGACCTTCTATGAGATTGTTTTAAGTGATTAGGGGTCATTCTTCAACAGCCAACTGAAGGCTAGTCGTGAAGACAGGCTTTCTTAGCATGTGTAGGGTTTGAGTAATACAGATGTACTGAGTTGACCTTGTGTTAGCCTATGGTTATGAGTAATGAATGACTTAATCTATGCAGTTTAGAACAGTATCTGGCAAATAACAGTACCAGGTACATATGAGTAGGGGGAAATAAGAGACAATATGAATTCAGCTAGTGAACTCTTTGAGCTTCAAGGGCCATTTTAACTTGGAACAGAAGTAAGCAGTGTTCCTTGGACAGTCTGATGATGAGGCTTCCATGCTTATAATGCTGTGCATTGAAAACATATCAAATGATGTACTTATGTATTTATGGGTACATTAGTAAGAGAAGGGGCATGTGTGTAACACAAAATACTAAAACTTTGTACCTTTTTACTTTACAGAGCCCTAAATCCAGTGAAAAAATAATTGAAGCTGTTGAGAAATACAACATATATCAGGTACAAGAGTCATTCTCTTTAACAGTACATAATATTCATTACACTGATAATTATTTAAGCATATAGTTTCTTTTTAACAATCTATTTTATAGTACTGCTAGTTTGGTGACCTACATAGGTGTGAGTGCATACTGATCATATTCTGAAGATAAGTTAATTGCTTTATTTATGTTAAAGTAATATTTGGAGGCTTTACATATACTGGGTCTAAACAGAAATGTGAAAATTAATGAAGTGTTATTAAGTCATTAAGAATCAACCCCTGAAATGCTTTTACATGACTGAACAGCACAGGCATGCCCACTCTTGCCTTCACAGAACTTGAAGTCCAGTTTGGGACTCAACATAAGCAAATATCCACATGTGAGAAAAGTTTATGATAAATGCTATTAGGTAAAGATGCATAGTTCTGTATGGCAATACACTAATAAAGTATGGAAGAGGTAACTGAGTTTGGGCAAATAGTATATCATTTCTGGGTGTATTTTAAAGTAAGACCTGAAGTGTGAGAATAGAGATACGCACGAAGAATGAGAAACATTAGATAAGAACAGAAGAATGAGAAAGCAGAAGAGTAGGACTAGGATAAATAAGGGAAAAAAGAAAGAGAAGGAGAAGGAAGGAAGGAGGGAGAAAGAAGGAAGGCAGGATGGGAAGGAAAATACAAAGAAAGACGAAATGAATGTGGTATCAGCATGGTCCCACAGATGGAGACAGAAAGGATAGAAATCTTTGATGAAGAAGGAAACTAGTCTGGCATGACAGGCCCTTAATAGCTAACATGAGGAATCATGGGAAGAGTTTGCCTTGGTCAGTTTTAACTTGTGGTTCTTCTGTTGTGTGCCCGTATGCTTTCTCTTGATTTCCTGCATATATATGATTTCAAATCTACCCCTTTCCCCGGACCTTTGCATTTAATCTGCTAAAGTACAGTGAAAATTGGTCACTACTTCTCAGAGAAGCAGTCAATGTGCTCATGGCTTTGAATGCTACTTCCCTGTAACATTCTGCATAGCATGGTCGGAGGTAAAGAACATTTAGAAATATTTAAATCCTGAACTTCTCAGGTGCTTTGAGCACAGGTTAACTGTAAATGTTTAAAAATGGTGCAAAATCAACACGCACATATCTATACATATGTGTACACATATGTACATGAGCATACAATTATGTGCATCTGTGTTTTATTTATCTTAATAGTTACCAAAACTATTCACAGGGTTATAGAATGAGCGGTTTCAGAAGATTCTTTTGGTATCTGTTTTAAGATATTCATTCATTTCTGAGCCTAACATGTTTTATGTAAAGAGGCCCATTTCATGCTTATGTATATTAAATGAGTTCAGGTAGTTTCCTACAATTCAAATAATTCAAACCAGGATATCTGTTTGCCTTCCGGGTTTAGCTTCATCCAGCACAGGACTTTCCTTTATATAGATTACATGGCTAGTTGCTTCAAGTATTCAACATATTTGAAAGACATAACCATAGGTGGCAATAAGGATCTCTGAAATAAAAGCTTAAAAATAATTTTATTGTATACTTGAGCATCTTTTGGATATATGCCTACAAGTGGTATAGCTTGGAAATATGCCTAGGAGTGGTATAGTTGGGTATAGTGGTATAGCACTATTCCTAATTGTCTGAGAAAGCGCCAGGTTGATTTCCAAAGTGATTGTACAAGTTTACATTCCCACCAGCAGTGGAGGAGGGTTCCCCTTTCTCCACATCCTCTCCAGCAGGTGTTGTCACTTGAGTTTTTGACATTAGTAATTCTGATCGGTGTAAGGTGAAATCTCAGGGTCATTTTGATTTGCCTTTCCCTGATGGCTAAGGACGTTGACCATTTCTTTAAGTGTCTCTCTGCCATTCAGTGTTCCTCTATTGAGAATTCTCTGTTTAGCTCTGTACCCCATTTTTTTAATTGGATTACTTGATTTGTTGCTGTTTAACCTCTTGAGTTTTTTTATATATTCTGGATATTAGCCCTCTGTCAGATATAGGGTTGGTGAAGATCCTTTCCCAATCTGTAGGCTGTCGTTTTGTTCTGACAACAGTGTCCTTTGCTTTACAGAAGCTTTTCAGTTTCATGAGGTCCCATTTACTGATTGTTAATCTTAGAGCCTGTGCTGTTGGTGTTCTGTTCAGGAAGTTGTCTCCTGCGATTTGCTCAATGATGTTCATAGCAGGTTTATTTGTAATAGTCAGAAGCTGGAAAGAACTCAGATGTCCCTCAGTTAAGGAATGGATACAGAAACTGTGTTACATTTACACAATGGAATACTATTCAGCAATTAGAAACGAGAAAATCATGAAAATTTCAGGCAAATGGTGGGAACTAGAAAATATCATCCTGAGTGAGCTATCCCAGAAGCAGAAAGACACACATGGTATATACTTACTTATAAGTGGATGTTAGACAGATAATATAGGGTAAACATACTAAAATCTGTACTCCTAAAGAAGCTATGCAAGCAGGAGGACCCTGGGTAAGATGCTCAATCCTCATTCAGAAAGGCAAATGGATGAACATCATAAGAGGGAGAAAACAGGGAACAGGACAGGAGCCTACTACAGAGGGCCTCTGAAAAACTTTACCCATTAGGGTATCAAAGCAGATGCTTAGACTCATAGCCAAATTTTGGGTAGAATGCAGGGACTCTTATGAAAGAAGGGAGGGATAGAAAGACCTGGAGAAGACAGGAGCTCCACAAGGAAAGAAAAAAAAATCAGGACATAGGGATCTTTTCTGAGACCAAGGACCATTCATGTAGATAACCTAGAACCCCTGCACTGAGGTAGCCCAAGGCAGCTCAGTGTCCAAGTGGGTTTCCTAGTAATAGGAACAGCGACTGTCTCTGACATGAACTCAGTGACCTGCTTTTTTATCACCTCCCCCTGAGGGGGGTGCAGCCTTACCAGGCCACAGAGGAAGACAATGCATCCACTCCTGATGAGACCTGATAGATAAGGATCAAAAGGACAGGGAGGAGGACATCCCCTATCAGTGGACGAGGGGAGGGGCATTGGTAGAGATGAGGGAGGGGGTTGAGATTGGGAGGGAATGAAGAAGGGAGTTACAGTTGGGATACAAAGTGAATAAAGTGTAATTAATAAAAAAAATAAATTAAAAAAAGAGAAAAAAATAATCTTTAATATAAGCATTTGCAATGTTGGTTTTTAAAGCCAAACCAACACAAGAAAAACCATAAATTACTGTTTGCATCTCAACTAACCTAACTCATTCCTTTCTACTGCAAATGCTTAGTCTTGATTTTTAAAATTCTCATAATTTAAGCCTACCATCAATCCCCAGATCAAGCAAGCTTCTGGCAGTGGGGCAAATGAGTAGGGTTGATGCCTAGTTGAGTATGTTTAATAATTCTTGTATAAGCTGGCATTTTCTTCTTGAGGTGACAGAAGTCCAAAGACTCTAAGATCTAGAGTTCATTACACTTTAATCCGAAAGTTTAGCACTTCTATAAGAAAGGACTTTTATAGATGAATTCAACATCTTTCAATTAAATTGATTATTATTTAAAAAGAAAATCACAAATAATTTCCCAAAGCTATGTTTCATCTTCAGAAAGACAAGAGGCAGCTGCCTTTTAATTATTCCTCTTGTCATTTGCTTTCTACTAGAGATGCATTTCAAATTTAAGATCTAATTAGAAATCTTAATTGAAAATAGTTTTATTTTTAAGTCAAGAGAAAGAAAGCAAAAAAGGAAGCATAAAAATAACGGGGAAAAGGCATAAATAGTGATATCCCACCACACTGAGCAAGCGCCACGCTGGGCCTGAGGAAGCCTCTGGAAAGTTGTTATCCAGCTACAATCTGAACCTCACTAAAGCATTTTCTGAAGCAAATGAAATCTTTCATTCATCATAGGTTCTTATTTCCAGGGCTTTTATTTTCTGTTAGGAAAAACAGAGGTCTTAAGTTCTGAAGCCTGTATTAAATGTCAACTCCCTCCTTTTCTTGTGCTTCCCTGGACTCATTTTTAACAATTCTCTAAATTTCTTATGCATCTTTATCTTTAGATTTTCTATTCTCATTTTCCAATACAGTTTCTATCTTATCTTGTATCTCCAACTGCGTACTGGCTGATACTTAGCATCCAACTTAGACATACAGCAGTGAGCACTAGAACAGAAGCAACAGGAAGCAAAACAAGAAAGGATGCTAGCTTTGAGGACATAGACTGAAGTATCTAGCACAGAGTGTCGCCAATGAAAAACGGAGACACTGCTTATCGATTCTGTCCAACAGAGGCAAATACTCAAAGGCGGATTCATTGATCTTTCATCCAAACTGGTTCCTGCAGATGTTATAATGTTATAGATTCTTCTATCCAGGCTGCAAGGTCCACTTATAGTCAAGGCAGCATGTCGCTGAATTACATGTGGCACTTTGAGTCTTGCTAGGTAAGACTCAGTATTTGGTTCACTGAGTGCCATTGTCACTTCACAGGGTCAGGGAAAAATAAACCCACTTGTACTACTCTTTGGATTACAAACCATCCCTTTCCCCCTCTCACTCTTTCCACATTCTTCCTTCTATCTGTCTCTAAATTTTTGACATACAATTCTTTTATTTTTTTTTATTAATTACACTTTATTCACTTTGTATCCCCCATAAGCCCCTCCCTACTCCCTTCCTGATCCCACCCTCTCCCTCTTTCTGCATGCATGCCACTCCCCAAGTCCACTGATAGGGGAGGTTCTCCTCTCCTTCCTTCTGGTCTTAGTCTGTCAGATCTCATTAGGAGTGGCTGCATTGTCATCTTCTGTGGCCTGGTAAGGCTGCTTCCCCCTCAGGGGGAGGTGATCAAAGAGCAGGCCAATCAGATTGTGTCAGAGGCAATCCCTCTTCCCATTACTATGGAACCCACTTGGACACTAAACTGTCATGGGCTACATCTGTGCAGGGGTTCTAGGTTATCTCCATGCATGGTAGTTGGTTGGAGTATGAGTCTCTGGGAAAGACCCCTGTGTTCA